TGCAAGACTTCCAGACCAGCCCAATATTCTATACTTTCCTCAGCATTTTGTTATCCACCGTGAATTGCCAGTTATCAAACTGAGGTCTACTCTGTGGAGTAGACCTCAGTTTGGTAACTGGCAATTCACGGTGGAGGAGAATTTACAGTTGGAGATTACTTCATTTCAATAGCGAATTACAATTTATACACATTAGTCGTCGAAAAAAGATAAAGGCTTTAAGTCTGATAGAATCTCCTTCACATACGTACACTTCGTTTTACAAGCATTCACGTAGGGATATGGCTCAACTAATTTGTCTACAAAAGAAACTTCTCCTCTACTTCATGCATTAGAATAAGTTCAGTTTAGAAAAGAGTCAGACTCAGAATCCCACTTTTTTCTCGTTTTTATCACTCATGAGTTCCATTGTCAGAGCGAGTGGTTCCTGATTGTCTTCGTACGTCCCCCACGCTTTCCACTCTGTCATTAAAAAAGGGAAAGATATCAAACGCATTAGAATGACTTCCTTCTCAATCCCATAATCTGCATTTCATCAAACAATGTCTTTAGGTGAAACTCTTCGGGAATGGAAACGGTTCGACGATGCCGAAGTTGAGTCTGGCAAGGAAACCCATGTAGGTCGAAGTGGAATTTTAGCATGAAAAATCTATCAGTAGATGATGCTTGAAGCGCTAATTTCGTATACGCTTTCATTATTTGTGTTACGTTACCCTGAAAGGAATGTTGAGGTTTTTCACTGCCGAAAATAGCTTATACGAACTACTAATATAATTACTCTGAAACAAAAATGCTACGAGCATTTATTTTCAAGTGGAATCGAAGGTCTTTTGCTCTCGCATTGCTTTTCTAGCTCAAAGTTGAACATTCGCACATTTATACAGATTCTGTACGCCTATTTCGTCAGAGGAGGAAGTATTGATTCAATGCTACACATCATTTCAGAAGGCCACTGCGATAAAGTGTTTCTTTGCGAAAGTTAAAATCAACCGAAATGAAACAAAAGAGAGGGCTCTTAACTAAAACACGGAATTATCGATAGATCATCCAACATAACCCATGGTAACAAAAGAAAATGCAAATTGTACAATTGCAAGGTATGACTTTACTTCAACTACAGTATAGGAAAAGCATGGAGTGTTAAATTATC